TCTCTCCTGTAAGAAGGACTCACACAGGTTCTTTAACACCAGGTTACAGGGTGGACGATCCTTTGAAGATCTTCTCTTACAAACTGCACACTCAAGATGTCCTTTCTCTGTCCACCAGCTCTGCAGACAGTCTTTACAGAAGCTGTGGCTGCATGACAGGATGACGGGATCTTTAAAGATGTCCTTACAGATCGGACAGCAGAGATCCTCCTCTAGTCTGGAAGCCATTAAGTCTCTGAGTGCAGCTGAAGTCACAGCAGATACAAAGTACAGTCAGTCATGGCTCCCCTCCCCCCACCACCCCACTAACGTTACTGAAATGTACTTTCACTTTGTGTTGTTGTCAGACTCACATTCAGTGTGTGTCCACAGGTTGAAGCAGCAGTGTTGGAGTTCCCACTTTTCTCTCCTGTAGCTGGACTCACTCAGAGGAAGCTGTTAGTTTGGTCTGAAGGTGAATCTGATCGTCTGCTTCTCACTCTGTGTCTCTGTAGTGATGAAGACGAACAAACTGTTTCCTGCTTTGTCACGTGAGTCAGAACAGGGCGGGGCTTGAAATACTGACTGATGGTGTAGAACAGGAAGTTGCAACAACTGTGTAAATGCCAATGTGGCTTTAGGTTGAACGTAGTGGAGCGGTTTCACTGGACTGGACAGGAAGTGACATTACTACATTTTAGAAAAGAGCGACCATGGAGTATTCAGGGGAACCGTGCACCATCAGAGGCTGCGAGCTACTATAGTTTTATAAAATATATTTGACATGTGATCTGGTTTTCACCTCAGCGTCTCTGATTCTCAGATGCTCATTAAAACATTCAAACACATGTGAACACACAATGAGCCGGTGGACCCACCACCAGAACACCGGTTTGTTACTTTTTGTTTTTTAATGCAAACTTTAACCAGTGTTGAGTAAAAATGAGAATAGAAAGTTTAGATGTCTCAAACACACTGTGTAGGTATTGTACTCTACTTTTCTCACAGTTTTTGTAACTGATACGCTGAAGGTCCTTTAATTTAATGTCAGTGCTTTGGTAATAGGCTAGTGTATATGAATGTGGTCATACCAAGGCCACTTCAACTGAACTGATTAGAGAGAGAAGGAGACTAACAAGTTACCTATGGCTGCCCTCAGCCAATGAGAGCTCCTAGAATCCTCAACTGGCGCGAAATTCGGTTGAAACGTAGTAGATGGGAGGGGCATAGACCAGAAAGAGTAGGGGGTGGTAGTGAGCAACTGCAACACGTGGACTGTCTATACAGTTTCCAGAATCAGGTACCAAAATACATTTATACGTTCAATTTAAAACAAAATGTTTTGTAATTTGCGTGGATTTAAAGCCATGTACAACAGCTGATCTCTGAACTGTTTAGTTAATATGGCTGGAGTATGTAGAGATACGTATTATCTCGGTTTGAGTCTGTTACTCTTTATACTGGAGTTTGTTAGAGAAGCAGGTTCATGCAGTTTTAAGCTGTCTTTTAAAAAGTGGCGACAAAGGGGCAGATGAACAACAAACAGATGATCCAACAAAGATTTTAAATATGATTTGATTTGGAGTTGAAAAGTTTTGTAAAGAGGAAAGGGAAAGACAAGAAATAAGGAAAATATCACTACCCCACATCCATAATTTCAGTGCTTGCTCTTTATTGAGCTACACTGTCATTTCTCCACATCATCCTTGAACTGTGTAGCTACTACCCTAATTGTAACCTAACCTCAACCTAACCTTAAAACATGTTGTTACCCTAAAATTCAATAGTTTACATGGCGGGGACCAGCTACTGGTCCACTCGAGGAAGGCCAATCCACCACAATATGAGTATGTGAACAGGTTTCGGTCCCCATAATGCAAGTAATACAAAGGCCACACACACAAAAAATGTGGGTTATTATTTTTCAGTGTTACAGGAGACAACCAATGTGGGTCATTTGTCAGTTTTAGCTTTCATCAGGAGGTGTCAGTGTTGCTGGAAAGATGAAGAGGAGGCAGGGAGGTGTGAATGAATGATTTCTTCAGCCTACAGCTAGATGAGGCCCTGCTGCATGCATCAACAGATTCATTTTTCCTATACAGTGTTAAGCAGAGAAGAATTCTTTACTGAAGGAGGAAGTTCCTGTGCTAATCTGTATGTAACCCTCTGTGGTGTCCTTGAACTCCATGCCAACTTTAAATGTGCTGATACAGTATGTTTTTGAGCCTTCACCTTCAGCTCAATGGAGAATTCCCAGCACCAAAGATTTTTTAAATGGCCTATCTATGTCAGATTTGTTGTTTGTTCTATTGCTTTTTTTCTGAGTTGCAGGGGTTGTTGCACTTATCATAATTGTTGCCATCTGTTTTCCATCACATTAATCTCTGTTTTTCATTTGCTACAGAACAGGATTCCAATGTGTTGCAACAGTGACTTTCCCTGCCAATAACTAAGGATGTTTATGGAGGTGACAGAGTAATATGTCAGTGCTGCTTTGACATGGCCGGAGATTGTGGGAACACTTTTCAGAATTTAATATTGTTTGTATTATCAGGCCCTGGATTAATTGACTATTTACATACAATGGCAAGAAAACTCTTTGGACATTTTCTTCACAAATTGGCCATAAAATGCCAGGCACACAGTTCCGAGCCAGCTCCACACCCCTTCTTCCGAGCATTGTCTAAGATGTCCAGTACATGAACTTCTAGGTCGCGTTGACCTAGTGCACATTTCCTTTTTCTAAACATGAACGGGTCACATGAACCATTCACATAAGGCTGAAGCTATGTCCATTCCCCATTTAAGGAGGAATTCGCTCTGGATGTTTACCCATAAATTAAACAAGGAAGACACAGCCAAGATATTCTTGCTTGTGCAAGAGAAGAGTAGAGATACAGATCAAGCTTACATAAACACTTACATAACTATTACAAATATTATCTATATATGAACTACATACTTTTCTATTACATATTACCTCTGGACTGGTACCTTGTTTGTTTTTAACTACTACACGAGGCTCACTGAATTGGAAGCATGGCCCGCACCATGGAAAACACTCCAGCTAACCAGGCTCATGTAGCTGGTGCGGGGTCTCCTAGATGTAGCTCAGTCCAAGGTAGCCGACCCCCCCAGCGCTTATTAAGCAGCCAGGAGCTCAGCCAGGTGGATAGGTGACAGTTGCAAGAGTCCATGGTGCATCACCCGCCTGTTCATGTTTCAAATCGATTTTCCCCACTCAGCAACACACCTGCCGGGAAAACAACTCTGGTAATTGGAGACTTCATAGTCAGAAACGTGAAGCTAGAGACACCGGTGGCCATAGTCAAATGTTTTCCTGGGGCCAAAGCGGGCGACATTGAATCCTATTTGAAGCTGCTGACTAAGGATAAGTGTAAATACAGTAAGGTTGTTATTCACGCTAATGACTCCCGACTTCACCAGTCGGAGGTCCCTAAAATTAGGTTGAGTTGGTGTGTAACTTCACCAAAACAATGTCGGACTCAATAGTTTTCTCTGGACCCCTACCCATTGTCATAATTCAACCACTGGCTGTAGAGGTGGTGCCCAGAAAACAACATTGGCTTAATAGAAAATTGGAAAACATTTTGGGGAAAACCGGGTCTGATTAGCAGAGACGGCATCCATCCCACTTTGGATGGTTGTCATATCTAGATATATGGATGAGTTTATTTTACAACCTAAATTATGACAACCCAGAGTTGTCATGCCTCTCTGCAGTGTCTTTGCAGCTGCTACCTTCCTAAAACTCCCAGTACCCCATAAAGACTGTGTCTGCGACCACTTAAATTATATAAATCAAAAATCAACTGAAGAGGAGTTATTCATAAGAACCTAATTAAAATTAAGACTGCTCATCTTATAGAACAAAATAACAGGACAATCAGTTGTGGACAATCAAATATCAGATCTCTCTCATCTAAATCTCTGTTAGTGAATGACTTGATAAGTGAACATCACATTGACTTATTGTGTCTTACTGAAACATGGTTACAGCAGGAAGAATATGTCAGTCTAAAAGAATCCACCCCACCTAGTCACATATGGTAGACTTCTGAACATAGATGTTAACCAGTTCTAATGATTACTTAAATCTATTGCTATTACTCTGGGATTCTTCTGTGTTGTGCCTTTGGAGCCAACTTATATAAGACAAATTTATATATAAGTACAGGTAATTCAAAGGCTTCACTATTTTTACTAGCAATTTGAGGCAAATTTGTGATATTTCTGGTAATAAAATAAAAATTGACATGACTGTCTTAATTAACTATACTAGCAATTGTGGTAATAATAAATGATATGTCATTATTTTTAGTATAGTTGCTCTCCCTTTGATTAATTACACTTTATTTGCCCAAAGTCAACTTTCCAGGCAGGAAGATGAAAACAAGGCCCAAAAATCAAGTCATTACATGGCTTAAGATATTTAAGAAAAATCTTTATTTGTTACTTATTAACAAAACACATTACCAGATTGATTAAATCATAGGAATCACTAGTATCACCTTTACAATGATAAGCAGGTGTACAAAAAAATTATTAACAGATCTGCACTGTCACAGTCGACTGGTATGTGTCAGTCACTGCCACACCCAGCGACTGAAGAACATTCACTATACACAAGCAGAGAATACATCAACACCATTTTTTGAAACACCTTTTACATGTTTTATTATTTTTTCCTTCTTTTTTGATTTTTTTTTCTCTACTGGGCAAGGATCAGATATGGAGGGTGAGTAAATGATTGGATTTCACAACAGTGTTTGCTTGCTCATCATTTCAAAGCTTAACACAAGTTTAAGGATTGTTTTTCTTATCTATGAAAATCATAAAGGTAAAAACTGAAAAAGGCATTTCATAGCATAACACAATAGCATTATGTATATCTAGAAGATTAAATTCATTTTCAGCTGAATAAAAAAAAGTGATTATTTGAGTTTTTTCCACAAATTACTGTTTGCAATGGCATATTTGTATGCATGTATTTATGCGTGTGTGTGTGTATGGATGAGTGTGGGTCTTTCAGTTTGTGTATTGTTTTTGGGAACGTGTATTCCAATAAGCATTTCCCAGCAGAAAAACATATCTATGTATATATATATAGTATCTATATAGTATCTGTTTCCTTTGCTTATAACATGCAAACAGCCACTTGGTGATCTGACAGCACAGAAGTACACATGAAAGATGGGACAAGGGGAAGGCAACATGTGCAATGGAGGGACTGAGCCTGATAGCAGCACCTATACACCCCTACTGTGACTGGCAATATGATCATGATTACAATATGATACAGTTTAAAAAACTGTATGACACTTTTCATCATGTTGATACTATTTCAGTATCTAGCACCCGCTCTCTACCATACTACATGTGGGTTTCACAATATCAGGGTCAAAGAGCTAAAGTTGATCAGTTCACACAGTTCGCACTTGGGTCACTGCAACTTGTGCACATTTCTTTGACATTGCAGCACTGTTTCCAATGTTTATTTGTAGGAATTAAGGAAAAAAGCACAATTTTAAGGTCTTGGCAGCTGCAACTTTTTTTAATCTTTACTTGGTTTCTGGTATCTTCTTTCACATTGTTACTGCTCAATGTTGGACTACAACCAAAATCAGGATTCCCCCGTCCAAGTCAGCCTGTTTCTATTGCTGCTGAACTGCACCACACTTATTTTATAAGTGGATTTAGTTGACCACAACTGACACAAAAATAAATGGAATACCACTTTTCATACCAAAGGGAAAATAACTCACAGTAGTTTCTTTATCTTCTACACTGGAGTGACACACCACATACTACAATGACCTCCTTTTTTATGACTTTTTTTTTATCCCCTTAATCTTGTCTAATTATAACCAGCACAACATCTTCTCAGTTCTTGCTAACTTGTCAGATGCCCTTACAATGCAATGTGGAGAACCAATGTGAGAGATGACAAAGTTGTCAACAAGGAGAAATCATAGGATACACTCTGGTTGAAGCACCTAAACTCAGTTACAAAAGATGCTGTGGTGTGTGTGTAGCATATGTGCATGTGTCTGTATGTGTATGTTGTGTATAAATATGCAAACACACAAATGTTGCTGTGTTACAACTACACAGTTCACTGCAAGAGAGTGACCTGAAATATATTGTCCAACCATGTTGATCTGAAGAAACAGAAGTTAACGGGAGGAAACGGGGAATTGGCAAGCAAATCCTACAAGCACTGAAGTGGTGGAGGCAGTGGTGCAGGGCTTGAAAAACAACTACTTAACATTCAAAGACAGAAGTAGAGGAATCAGGCATCAACAGAACTTAAGCAACAAGCAACTTTCCTGCATCCCAGCCATATAATACACTCCCATATAAAGGGTGGCATTCATCTTCAGTCATGGAGTTGAACTTTACAGAAAGAGTTGCACATTCTTTTTTTTGTATATTTGTATAGTTTGTGTATTTGTATATTGTATGTCTGTGTGTAAGAAACAAAGAGACAGTATGTGTTTGCTCATGTGTATGTATGAGCAAGAGGCAACAAGAGAGTCAGTGTTGTCTGCATGTATAATGTGTGTCTGACTAGTTATGCTAATACACAGTGGGATTCAGACCCCATTGACCTGTGCCATATCCCAGGCAACGAGGCAAGGTCAGGGACCAGTTGCATCAGCTGCATGTAGGTTCCCCTAGTTATATCCAAAATAGCCACTAGTCCCATTTCACGCATTGCTAAAATATAATCGGTAGTACCACAAAATTCTGTTACAACATAACCTCAAGTAACAACTAAGTAGCTAAGCAAGCAGTAAAGCAGGTGCAAATGATACAAAGTCACACAATTGCACTCACTAACAGTAAAGCAGGATTTTCCCCCCTTTTTTCCTGCACACAACATGTTCTCTATTTAGTAGTTGCATGCCATTTTGCAACCTGGAGGACTATAGCAGTAATTTTGAATATTTCTGTCCATTTTCTCTACACATTGCACATGTCTGAGGGCTAGTATCCTCATGGCTTTTTTTATTTATCATTGTGCCTTTCCTTTTTTCAAGCAGAGTCGGGTTCATGTTCAATCCACATTGTGTTAAAATCAACATGCTTGAGGCTTGTTTAATGCATGTAATCCATAATCTGTGTTTAGTTTAGCCAAAGTTATGTCACAGTTTTCAAATGGACCTGTGCTCAAGCTACATTAGAATGTAATCAAAATGTAACAAGAATTAAACCAGACAACATATCCACTTTGATGTATTTCTTAGTGTGAAATAGTTTCCAGGATCAGCTAATTTATTTTTGTGCTTTAGTAGAAAAAGCAATAGCTTCATGGAAGAAAATGCATCACAATTTTCAAAAGCACCAATGGTGAGCTTTGGAAAATGTTATTAGTGCTGTTAGTTACAATGTGATTTGTAGAGAATGGACTAAAACATGCAAAAACTAGTACTGCCCTTTAAGAATCAACTATAGAATTACCAAGTATAATTTTTATGCTAATGTAGTCAACTATAAATCTTTGTATCCATCAGATAGTACTCTGACTGATTAACTACCCATCTCAAATCTTAATCCTATAACAAGATAGAATTCCTTTCTAACTACCCATGATTAGTTACTTGCTAATTGTAAATTAATTAGCAGATATGAAGCCATTACTTTATACCCTAACCTGGGAACAAACTTGCGTATAGTTGGTGCAACCCAGTCCAGGGCCTCAGCCTCTGTGATGTGTTATGTTACACTGAAACAGAGCTCTTTTTTCGAGTGTGGTCCTGCTTGTTTTGGCCACCTCATCGTCTTAAAGGCGTTAATCTTATGATACATATACTGTATGTTGTTACTTTTTTATTTTTTATTTTTTTTACAAAACCAAATGTTTTGATTTTCTACAAGGCCTCCATAATACTGAAGACAAAAGTCGCTGTTTATGGTTTTTTATTTGTTTTTTTTTTTTTTAGTTTGGCTTTCACTTCACCTCCAATCAGGTGAGCCAAAGAGGAAGGGAGCTGCATAAAGACAGAGATGCCAACGCAGGTAGCTTCAGCTGACAATGGTCAGATACAAATTACAAATTGTACACCTTTTCAGGTGTTTCTCTCTGTTATTAGACAAACTGGAGCGAAAGGCTAATCTAACTTTCGGTCTTATTTTAGTCCAGCCTTTAGATGTGTAACTACTGAGAACATTTCTTTACTATAAACCACAGACCAAAGTTATGGGCCAAAAAAAGAGAGAGAAACATGTTTAGCAAGTTCGAACGGTGTGGGGAGCCAGGTCTGAATTAATGAGGGTTTGGCCACTTTAAAATGTCTATGTAAATATGATGCAAGGAGGCTCCCTCAGTTCTACAATATGCATTTGGCTTTTTTCTGGCTCTGAAATTGGGATGATAATTTGTTGGTAGCTCTGTTTTCAAATCACCCCTTCTCCTCTATTCTTCCCCGTCATCTTTTCCTTTCTCCTTTTTGTCCTTCTTGTCCTTCTTCTTCTTTTTTTTCTTCTTTGCCTCATCCTTCTTGCCAAAGCTTATGAAGTCACCCTTGTCATCCACAGGGCCGGCGTCATGGCGGATAGAAATGATGGCTGGGGATCCGGGGATGATAAAGGCTTCGGGAGGAATCTCTCCAGGCTTCAGGGGCTGAGGAGGACCGTAGCCTGGTCCAGCACCGTATCTGAATTGCCAGCTGTTGCAGTTGACTCCAGCACCGACTGGGGGTGAAAGTTCTCCACCACCTTCTCCATCTACACAGATATAATGAAAACAAATAAAAAGAAGAGATGTCAAATCTGGCTAATCCCTTTGTTTATTTAGTTACACAGGGCTTTGTATGTAACAAAAGATCAAACTTCACAGAGGTAAATTTCCTTACAGGTTTTGCATTCTGGTTTATTTTTCAGTAACTGTCCTGCTTGTCATGCATTGCTCTTTCCTTAGACTGTATTATTTGGTATTTGACATATTCATAAATCTGTAAGAAGTCACCAAAATCAAGAAAGGAGGGGTGGAGAAATAGCTTGAAAATGGAGTGATAGCCACAGGGAGTGGATATTTTCAGGACAGCAATTCAGACAAGCCCACGGGAGGCAGTACTGGTGGGGACTAACCTTGAAACCACAGAGATGTTTAACTTGGCAGTGTGATTTGTATTTGTATTTGGATGTGGGGAGATGCATAATCCCACTCTCATAGGTGGCCAGAGACAAGATTCAGCCTTTAATGCATAAACATGGATGGGACAGAGAAAAGAGCCCAGATTAGCAAAATAGAATAAGAGGATGGGATCTATATAGAGAGAATGAATATGTAAAGGGAAAATAAGACATAAGATGCAAAAGGTTAAAGATGTCAGAATGAAGAAGAAAGAGGATGGTGGATAAGATGAGAAAAACAGAGAGACAAAGAAATAGTAAGAAAGAGGAGGGTGGGTGTGTTTTGCAGACACGGTGCTCTCAGGCCCACACCAGTTCCCTTTGCGCTGACCTACTTTCAGTCTGGATTTTATTTAGATCAAATACAGGCCCTTGCAAAAAATATGATGTTAAAATTTTCTTTGTAGGCTATTTATGACATTGCTGGAGTGCTGAAATGGTTTCAACTGCTGTCCCATAGGGAAGTACGCTAATTTGAAAATACACACCATCCATACTGTACACACAGTGTCCCAGTGTGCCCTCACAAGTTCACTGAGTAAGAGAATAAATGGCATGTACAAACTGTAATAAGAGTTTATGTAATAGAAACTACCACACTTCTCTCTTTGCATTATTGCAGTTAGAGAGGATACTGCCACCAAACACCTTCCACAGAAAGCTACAGTATGTTGTACTATTGAGCAACAATTCATTCATATGTTAACTCAAGCAAATGTAATTCTGTAAAGAACTGATCTTTTCAGCATAGCAGGAGAGGTCAGATAGAATATTGTGTCATTGAAACTTGCCATAGCATTGTGACAAGAGCTTAAGACCAAAGACACACATAAATCATTTGTCTTCAGCTGGCAAAAATTGAACTATTCAATAAAGAATAAGAACCATGATAAGACAAAAATGAAAACCATAGAACTTCAGATATTACTACTTAGGAAAATTAAGCTTTAATTAAATTTTTTACCAGCTTGGTCTTATATTTTACAGATTTTTTGAAAAAAAAAAAAGCATGTGCTGTGAGTAGTTAGTGTCAGACATTGTCATCTAATGGTAATTAATGGCATTAGAGATGTAACACTGTAATGCTAGTATGTTTCTACAGATTATGGCATGCATGTCTGTCTGTATTTGATCTGGGCATTAAACCCAGGAAGAGATTCTGCTACTTAGAATAAGTCCCATTTAACTGCTATCACTGGTTAGGCAAGCAAGATTGCTTCTAATTTGGAGTAGGACAAGGCGCTTAAAATAAACTGAAAAGAGAGCCAATGAGTTGAAGGAGATGTGCAAAATAGTGTGTTTCAGAAAGCGGATGAGCAAATTGAGGCAATAATGCAGTGCACTGCATTGCTGTACACAGTGAACCTCCATTTTATGCAATTAACACAACATTTCCTGTTACCTCATGATGCCGTTTGAAGGGGGATGATGTGAGGCATAGTCATATGAGTTTGAGAATACATTTTTAGGGAGTCTTGTGATGATAGATAACCTTCTACAAAGGGTCTTTCTTTGCATGTTTTACATTTCATTTAAATAGGTTACTGCATACAACCCTGTGATTTGAAAATATAGCATTACACCTAATCCAGGGCATGTGATTAGCTAAATAGAAAGACAGTGATCTGATAAAATTCAAAATAGAATATTATCCATAAATGTGGCCCTTCTGGCTCTATGCCATTTATGTAGAATCAGGGAAAAGAAGGACTCTGTTATGTACCGTTCGCACCTGTCAGTGAGCGAACGAGAAAGAGGCGGACCCAGGTAGCCGACTTCGGTGCAAGCAGTGATTTATTATGTACAGTGATGATGAGAGTAACAATACACAGAGGGAAATAGTGCGTAGTCCTGTCGATGAGTAGTAACCGGGTGTTAACCAACAGCAGGAGGCAAGGAGATGGAGAGCTGGGCCGAGCTGCGTAGGCTGGGTCACTCCTGGGCTGGTCGGTGGTGATGGTGGCTACTGAAGGTAGAGACAGAGAGATGAAGGCAATAGTGGAACAGATAGGCGACTGAGCATTGACCTGCCTGGGAGGGGAGAGTGGAGCCACGGTC